GTGTCCCCTCATATCCTAGAAGGACCAAACCACTGGAGGGCAAGAATGTACCTGGGGAAAGGGATACAGAGAAAGGAAGGGATGGAAAGGGGGAAGATGGTGGTCAGAGCTCAGTAGGGTGGCCCACTCTCATCTCAGAGTAGCTTGAAGATCTTCTGAAGAGCTTCCTCAGTGCTTCGCCACATGGCACAGACGGAAGTGATTTTGAGACTTCCCTATCTGAAATCCAATAGGTGACCTCCACTCATAGTTACTGGTACCGGACAAGCCCTTCCATCATAAACAAGACAAAATGTATGACACAACAGTGAACAACAGGCAGTGCAAGACTACAGTCCCCGAGAGAAAGAATACTCACAAGGTGAAGCTTCATCATCACCCTGGGGACAGTTTTGTAACTTTGGGGCAGAGGGTTAAAGTCCAATCAAAATACAGAGTCTTGCCGAGCTGGGAAGTCAGAGTTCAGAGTTTGTGGCAGCTGAAACGACTGGAATGTCAGGGGCAGGGCGTTGGAGAAAAGAGAGATGTGCAGGACATGGGCCTAAAAGTTGTGTTTGGATCATCCATTAGGACTCTGATGAGGGCTGGGCTGCACAGGCACAGGGCAAGACCACGTAGGATTACAGAGAGTCTGATGAGGGGTTGAGAATGGAGCCGGATATAAGAGGTCAAGAAGTCCTGGGGATATTGGAGACCCAGACCAGCCAGAATGGAGAGATGTCATCAACACCTTGTTAACATCTCAGGCATCAGCACTCCTATGCTTCAAGGGTAAGGACTATACCTTAGAGTAAGGCCTATCACAGACCTACCCTAAACTAACTAACTAACTAACTAACTAACTAACTAACTAACTAACTAACTAAAGCTAAGCCCTGAAAAAAATCTAAGAGATAGGGTTTGGAGATTGAGTGCCATGAAGTTAGAGAACCTGAAAAGATACCCTGGGCTTTTCACAGACTTGCTATAACAAAGCCCAAAATAAAGTCAAGACAAGTTCAAGGGGAACAGCTAGTGATGGAACTGTATGCTAGACCAAAAATTAATGCTCTTCTGCAGAAAATAACAGATTCCATAGTTTCTAAAATGTGTCATTGACAATGTCCAACAGAGAATAAAAAATAACTAAGTGTGGAAAAAAAAAAAAAAAACGTGACCTACTGTCAAGGAAAAAATAAACAATAGAAATTGATCCAGAAATGAGCCAAATGTTAGCAGACAAAGACTAAAAGCATGATAATAAAAATGTTCAAAGAACTAAAGGAAAATATGGTCATAATGAGTGACAAAATAAGGAATCTCAGAAGAGAAGTGGAAGTTTTAGAAAAGAACCAATGGAAATTTTAGAAGTGAAAATTACAATAAATGAAATAAAGTACTCACTGGAAAAATTTAATAGCACATTGGAAATGGAAAAAGAAAAAAGACAGTAAACTTAAAAGCAATCAACAGAAATTTTCCAAACTGAAGAATAAAGATAAAAATACAGCAAAAAAAAAAAATAGAACTCCATGGGGACATGAGAAAATATAAAATGGTCTATCATACAAATTGGACACTCAGAAAAAAAACTTGAAGATAAATACAAAGAAAAATCACACCTATGCACTTGGACTTACTCAAATTGCTCAAGACTAGGGATAGAGAATAAGAGACACATTTCATACAGAGGAACAATGTTATTAAAAATCACTGCTCTTACCAGAAACAGTGAAGAAATCAGAAACAATTGAATGAAATGTTTGAAGTTTTTATTTTTTTCACATGTGGTATGATTTCATTTATATGAATTGTCTAGAATAGGCAAATCTAGAAAGACAGAAAGGAGACTAGTGGTTTCCAGGGGCTGGAGGAAGGAACAGAAAATGAGTGTAAATGGGCTGAGATTTCCTTTTGAAGTGATGGAAATGTCCTAAAATTATATTGTGGTGGTGGGTGCACAAAACTAAAACTACCACTAAACTACCGAGAGCCATTGCAGAGCCAAGGGAAATGAGCTGACTCTGTTGCTGTAAGTTTCTGACAATTTTACCCCTCGCAGCCACACCCAGAGCCCCACCAGGCCCATCTTGGGCAGTGCTTCCTAAGGAGCACCTCCAATCCTGTTCTGCTTCAGCTATGTCCTCAGAACCAGAAATCTGAAATCTTTTTCATTTTCAAAGAAAAATTCTGTCCACACAGAATTTTATATCCAGTGAAAATATCCTTCAAGAATGAGGGAAAACGAAAGACATTTTCAGAAAAATGAAAGTTCACAGAAATGAAAGTTCATAGCCAGTATATATGCCCTATAAAAATTGCTAAAGGATAGTCTTCACGTTAACAGGAAATATCAGATAGAAACTTGGATCTGCAAGAAGAAATGGAGAACGGTGGTAGATGAGCAGGTAAGTATTAAAATGTATGTATTTTTTTCTTCTCTGGATTTTCTTAAAAGACAACTGACCATTTAAAACAAGATGATAAGATCGTAGGGTGGGATTTTGTCAGTAGTAGAATATGTGTCAGTAGGAACCTCAAAGTTCTTCCCCTTTGGTGCCCCCCAGCAGAGGCCTGCAGGGGATGAAGCCAAAGGCAGTGGCAGGTCCAGCCTCTGAGGCCAGTCTCACTTGGGCCTTGCCCAGAGCTCCAGTCTCTCTGTGACTCTCTTGGGTGTGCTGGAAGGCAGGTAAACAGGTTACTTCAAGTCCTATTTAAGTTTTATGGAGTAGCCAAGGTCTTCCAGAGCTCCATCTCCAGGAAGCCCCCCTCCTGGCCCCCAGGCCAGCCTCTTCCCACTCTGGTAAAGCCATCTGACCCCAAGCAGCCTGCAGTTTCCTTTCTCTCCACACCTCCCAAACCCGCTGCTCAGTCCCAGCACTGCCTGGGACTACAGCTGACCTTTTGCGGCAGTTTGTTTGGAAAATGCCCTTACGTAAACAAAAACAGCCTCCAGGTCTGCCAGGGCCTGGCTTGTTTTCTCCCTTAGGTCCTGGGCAGAAAAATAACCAGTGGGAGGGAGGAGAGAGCCACAGAGTCGGAACCCTGTCTCCAGGGACCTTGGGACCTTGGGCTTCTGTCCTCTCAGCCTGTCCCTCAGGGCTTTCTTTGTAAGAATTCGGTTCTCAGGGGAGAGGGGCTGGGGGAGGCGGTGGCTTTAAACAATGCCACAGTGTCTGGCAGGGAACTGCATGCTTGACCTGATTAGGCTCAGTGAGCTGGGGAGAGGGAGGGAGCAAAGGCAGGCTTGAGAAACTGTTTTCCTTCTCCACCCAACAGACTTTTCTTCCTTGTTTCTCTGCCAAGGTCTCTTCTTGGGTGGAAAAGGCTGAATCGTCTCATTTCCCCAGGGGCACGATGGCCTCTCTCCTCTAAGCTTGCCCCCCCCCCCATCTTGTCTTTCTTTTCCATCAACCAGCTCCCAAACAGAGAGTGTTTTTCACACTTGCAGCTCTCCCTCCTCTTGTCCTGCCAGGCCTGAAGTTGGGCTCAGGAGTCCAGCTGGCACCCACATGAAAGCCCTTCCTGTCGAGAACCCACACGGAACTGAGAGCCCCAAGGCTGCCCGCACCCGCAGCCCTGGCCCAGGGTCCCTGAACACAGGACCATGGAAACTCAGCCACAAGGCTCCAAGGGAAAAAACAACCCAAGCCACACAGGAGAGGGGCCTCCCATGCCCACAGCCATGCTGGGCACATCAAGAGAGAAAGAGCCATGCCCAGGGACCCTTAGAACATGATCTGCGGCACCTGTGCCCGGCAGAGGACATGGGAACGTGGGAATAGTGCTGGGGCAGCAATTTGTGTTGTTAGTGCAGGTGGAGGGAAAATAGCAAATCCACAGTTTCCAACTGCATCGGCAGAAAAAGTGAAAGCTGAGAAGCCCGGGTGAGGCCCCAGGGAACAGGACAGGAGGGGGTGGCTGGGTGGGCCCAGAATTGAGGTCTAGTTCTTGAAAGGGTGGCAAAAGGCAACAGGCTGGTGCTTCCTTGAGAGAAAAATCTGGTCTCTCAACCAGCAACGGGTGTCGTTTCCAGCTGGCATAGCCAGACCTGTTCCCAGGATGCAGACACAGCCCCGGGAAACTGAGACCAGGGTGGGGGTGACTTGTTCAAGGTTGCACGGCTCATTCAAGGTGGGGTTTGAACTACAAACCCAGGGCTTCTCACCTCCAAAGAATCTCCTAGTCCGTTTTGAGGGGTTCATTCTTAGACAGAAATCTAGGAGAACATACATCAAAATGTCAACAATGTGATTCTGAGTAACTTAAATTTGGCCTTTTTTTGGTGGTGTTTTGTTTGTGTTTTGCTTAGCTGTGCTTTCTATCATCATTATTTTTTTTTTTATAGTAAGCAAGAATTGCCTGTGTAAAACAAATATGATGTAAAAGGAAAACAAGAGATTTGATAAAATGATAAACTGCATATAAGCTATTTAGCATAAGGGGGAGCTGGCATTTGATGATCGACAAGGTCAGATATTATTAGCTTTAAGGTAAGAAGGAGAAGAAAAGAGAAAGCAGAAGGAAGAAAAAATGGAGAAAGAGGAACATTCAACATGAGGAAGAAGTCAAAGTACAAGGAAAGGAGTGGAAGAGGGAAAAGGAGAAAGAATACGACATAAAGATGAAGATATTCCTCTCAGGATTCCTGGGGCTCAGGGCTGGCCTCTCAAAGGCAAAATAAAAGCTAGCAGCCCCCACTCGGCTGCCTTCGGGCGGATGTTAAAGACCCTGGACTGGGCTGGACTAGAGGGAAGTTTCCCTAACTGGCCTCTGCTAAGGCTTCGTTTCAGGGACTCCATCTCTCTCTCTCGCTCACACGCGCGCACGCACGCGCACAGGAGTGCATGCGCACGCGCAGCCGCACACGCGCAGCCGCACACGCGCAGCCGCACACGCGCAGCCGCACACGCGCAGCCGCACACGCGCAGCCGCACACGCGCAGCCCGCAGCCGCACACGCGCAGCCGCACACGCGCAGCCGCACACGCGCAGCCGCACACGCGCAGCCGCACACGCGCAGCCGCACACGCGCAGCCGCACGACGTGAGGCGGCTCGCCTCAGACGGAGGCTCTTCTTGCCCCTGTGCTGTGGGAGGACGAGCACAAGCTGGGAAGGATGTCTTTGCTGCCAGCGCCCCGCAGGGTGAGCCAGCCATCCCTGGTGACATCATGGTTTCTGAGTGAATGTTTACTTCTGAAGCTGCAAAATAATCTAAACTTTCAGCCCCGACTTCTCCCCAGAGGGCGGCTGCGTCCTGTGAATTCGGCCAAAACGGAACTCACACCCCTGCTCATTAAGGGAGCGATGATCGAGGGGACCCGCAAGCCGCCTCCCTTGAACTTCCCACCCTGCATCCCCCCCGTAAACCCCAAGGTCTGTGTTTCTGCAGGTGCCAGGGGCAGAGGAAGTGAGTGCTCCAAGGGGGGTTGTGGAGGGGATAAGAAAAGAGGGACAGGTGGAAGGAGCCTGGTAGGGAAAGGGGGTGACCCCGCCCGCCGCCTCCCTCCTTTATTTCGGGCATGTGGCCAACAGGAACCCACTGTGGGACCTTGGCAGACCCAGGCAGGACCAGCTGGAGATAAAACCACCCCCAAGAGCCCTGGGAGTTCAATCCCCACTGAGTCAGAGGAGCCAGTGTCAAAGCAAAGGCAAGTGGAACGATGCAGTGTCCTGTCGCCAGACAGGGGTCCTGGGGTTTGGAGCCACAGGGACCTCAGTTCAGATCTCGGCTGGGTGACCTGGAGTAACTGGTTTGGCCTTTCCAAACCTCACTTTCTGCATCCGAACATGGGAGTCCAATCACTTATTCATGTATTTATTTGTTCAACAAGTATTTATTGAACACCCACCATGGGCCAGGCATTGGGGATACAACAGTAGTCGAACAATTGTCCCTGCTTACATCATTGTTATAAATTGGCACCCTAGGAATATATACTGGGCAGTATAAGAGCACAAACTAGTCTTGGGGCCAGGAAGATCTTTCCAGAAGGAAGGGACAAAGACTGGGCTTCTCTTTTCCAATTCACCATTTTCTTATGTGCTTAATCCAAAATCTCCTGGAATTCAAATATTTAACTTATCAGATCAAGATAAAATCTATCTTTTTAAAAACTCTACCCCCAGTACACCCTGTCTTCTGGAATTATCTAGATTAGGGTATGTGGTCAAACTTCTAGCTTTTTTCCCATCCAATAGGTGAGACGTGATGCCTCTGTGTAGGCTAAATTTGCATTTCTTTTAGTATGAGTGGAGTTGATCATCTTTTTATATGTTTAATCATCATTTGTAATTTTCTTTTTCTGTCTCTTTAATGTCTTTCAGGAAGTCTTATTTCCAGGATCTCTCTGTATCACCTTTGGGAACAAGGTAAACCTACCTTATTTACTTTATGATATAATTTGTTGTTATTTTTGGTTATTTATTTTTTTGAGACAGAGTCTCACTCTATTGCCCAGGCTAGGGTGCTGTGGCATCACTCTAGCTCACAGCAACCTCACACTCCTGCCTCAGCCTCCTGAGTAGCTGGGACTACAGGTGCACACCACTGCACCCAGCTAAATTTTTCTATTTTTAGTTGCCCAGCTGATTTTTTTTTCTATTTTTAGTAGAGACAGGGTCTCTCTCTTGCTCAGGCTGGTTTGGGACTCCTGAGCTCAAGCAATCCTTTCGTCTTGGCCTCCCAGAGTGCTAGGATTACAGGTGTGAGCCACCATGTCCAGTAGCAAGGTGTTTTTTGATAAACTTGTGAGCAAGTAGGAAAACATGGTGCAGATTAAAGTAAAATCAGCAGAATTAGTATCCTGTTGGGTGTGCCCAAAGAGTACTGAAGATGGATTAATCTCAGCCAGAAAGGATGTTTGCTCAAGGTACTGACCCAAGACATCTCATTCAAAGGTTTTCCAAATTTTTTGGATGATAGTATAGAAGGAATGTTTACAAACATGTAGACAACATTTGTGAAGGAAATGATGTTAGAGGAAATAATTAGAACCACAATGAGCTCAATAGGCAGATTCCAACAAGGTATCTTTAATAGGGAAAATTCATTAAAAACATAATAGTGAAAGGAGCAAGTCATACATAGAAAAAAACGTTAAGAAGATTCCATGAATATGAATTTCAAAGCAGGCAAAAGCAGTGTATTGTTTAGAGAAGTGCATGTCAGGGATATAAGACATGATTATCACAAAAGGTAGGTGAGGGGTAGGGGTAGGCAGGGATGTGATTAGGAAAGTGAAAAAAGGGGGCTTTGAGGGGTGCAGGTACTGTTCTATTTCTTAACCGGGAGGATAGTAGAACATAATTATTTATATTATTATCTTTGAAAAGGAACATATCTTTTCATACACTGTTTTGTGTGTTTGTTACATTATATAGTAAAAAAAAAATTTAAAGAATAAATCTAAAATTCTATACCATGATCCAAACCCTCCCCCACTTCATAAAAAAATGAAAAGATCCCAGAATAATCTAATCAACATGGTGTGTGGAAAAGACAGGGGATTTAATTGACAACGAAAGCCAAAGAGTCAGGTGATCTCTACAGCTACATTTGGAGAAGAATCATCTCTTTCCTACTCTTGTGAGGGCCAGCTGGGGTCATGCCAGGAGACGCTGCCCAGCTCAGAAGCTGCTCTTCTTGGGAGTTAGGTAAACAGAGGAGAGTTGGGGCCTCGCATGTCCTGTGTTCTCAGACGCCTGCTTTTCTTTCAGTGTCACACTGGATCACAGAGAATGGGATGTTCAGGAGGAGTCACAGGTGGCAGCTGACAGCCGTCTTCAAACCTTTCAAGCTGTCACATGAAAGAGGAATTCAACTTGCCCTGTGTGGCTCCAGAAGGCAAAACAACAGGTAGAAGTCACTGTGAGGCCAACTGTGGCTCAATAAAGTAACTTTTCTAAAATCGTATGGGCTTTAGCAAGCTGCAGGTTTCTGTCCCTGGATGCGTTCATGCTGAGGGTGATGTTTTGTGTTTAGCTAAGGGTGTTGTGACTCTCACAGAAGAGTCTGATTGGCTTAGGTCCCTTCCATCCTCCACGGCCTATGATTCTATGAAACCTGTGCCTGGAGCATGCAAAGGAAAGCTAGAAGCTGATTCCAAAACAAAAAGAGATTTGTTTTTAAATATAAGCATTGTAAGCATTGTGTCTTGACAAAAATTTACTTTATTTTTTTGTTTTTTTTTGAGACAAAGCCTCACTCTGTTGCCCAGGCTGGAGTGCCATGGCGTCAGCCTAGCTCACAGCAACCTCAAACTCCTGGGCTCAAGCAATCCTTCTGCCTCAGGCTCTCAAGTAGCTGGTACTGCAGGCATGCACCATCATGCCCGGCTAATTTTTTCTCTATATATTTTTAGTTGTCCAGCTAATTTCTTTCTATTTTTTTTTTTTTTAGTAGAGACAGGGTCTTGCTCTTGCTCAGGCTGATCTTGAACTCCTGAGCTCAAACGATCTGACCGCATTGGCCTCCCAGAGTGCTAGGGCAATTTACTTTTTAAATCAATACATGGTGTTGTTGGTTTAGAAGGTTCAGGCACCTTCCACCCCACATTTCTAAAATTTCAATGGCAAAGAGCTTTGAGACCTGCTGAGAAGCACAGCTTCATGAGATTTGCAGCAAGATTCTGAGTCCAACCTCTTGTACCCTGCGGGAGAACAGCGTGGACTCAAGGGCAGCTGGAATGTCAATGGGATAGACAAGGAGACCCGTGCTTATACTCTCCTGCCACCTGCTGGCTCTTCCCTTCGTTGCTTGCTTCCCCCAGACATTGGTGGTGTCCACTAAGAATGGTACATTGCCAGGAAGCTGCTCCTTCAGTGGCTCATACTAAATCCAGGAAAAATCACAAATTCATGGAGAAGACCCAGAGCTCATTCTAATCCAGACCCCTCAAACACTGATAGCTCAGGGGAAATACACAGCCATAGACAGGCCTTGTTTGGCCCACACAATGCTGAATAGTTTTAAACCAACATAAGCAAATGTGGAAATGTTAGCTAAAAGTCTAGGTTTCCAATGTATTATGATACTGGATATTCATGAAGTCTCAAAGCAGAGAGCAATAAGTGGTGAGTACATCTACACTCTAGTTGCAAGACACACTAATTAAGGATGCACCAAAGGATAGCAAAACCAGTCACTGCAACAGCTATACAAGAAACGATACCTCTAAAGGGCTACACTGAAGAAAATCCACAAGCATAGGAAGAAAGAGCTTGGACCTTTGCTCCCACTACCCCAAGCCAAACAAGGAGCCTTCAAGAACTTGGGGGTGGGCCTGGGATGTGGGTGGGTGCAGGTTTGCTGAGTCTTTGGTCTGTTTTACCACAAAGACTGATAATGCTTCTCCCCTGTAGAATTCAAAAGGCAGGAAACTAGCTAGAGCTTCCCACATCGACAGGATAATGGTAGCAGCTGGCCAAACTGGACTTGACTCATTTGGCAAGTGGGGTTTCCCTACAGGGAAGCAGAGAGAGAAAACTGGGTTCCAGGTGAGAGCTGATTGTTGAGACTTTACTGAACAGGGCTGCTGCCAAGGCACATGGACTCCAGTCTCAGCAGGGGCTGTGGGTGTGCCACTTGTGGTTGGGGAAGGATACAAGATGGGGAAGGATACAAGGACTCAGCTAGGAAGTGCATTCCCAGGTCAGAGAACTATGCCACTGACGACCCTTTTAATGCTCCCGAAGAACCCACAGATGGGAGCATGAAGAATCAGCACTGCAGCAGCTGCTGTGTGGGGGGCCACCGAAAGCCAGATTCTAATAGAGCCAGTCACGAAAGAGTCTCCTCTTTTCCCACAGCCCCTACCTCTGCCCCTGTCGTGGGCTAATCCTCCATAAACCTGCCTTATCTGGCCTCCGCCCCAATCCTGGAGGAGCTGGTGCTGGGGAAGAGGCAGAGTGAAGAATCAGACCTGAACTAGGAGGTGCCCTAAAGTTTTGAGTTACATGTGAGATTGAAGTTTTGATTTAAATGAGATGAGTTTTTCATGTCTACAAGGGAATTGTCATTTTAAAATGGAGCAGTTCTTGTATCAGAAAGTGATTGGAGGCCGGGCGCTGTGGCTCACGCCTGTAATCCTAGCTCTTGGGAGGCCGAGGCGGGCGGATTGCTCAAGGTCAGGAGTTCAAAACCAGCCTGAGCAAGAGCGAGACCCCGTCTCTACTATAAATAGAAAGAAATTAATTGGCCAACTGATATATATATAAAAAATTAGCCGGGCATGGTGGCGCATGCCTGTAGTCCCAGCTACTCGGGAGGCTGAGGCAGAAGGATCGCTCGAGCCCAGGAGTTTGAGGTTGCTGTGAGCTAGGCTGACGCCACGGCACTCACTCTAGCCTGGACAACAAAGAGAGACTCTGTCTCAAAAAAAAAAAAAAAAAAAAAGAAAGTGATTGGAAAGTCACAGAGTCAGATCTGTTCATCTAAGATGCCATGGAAAGGTGGGGAGAGAAAGCAGAGCTGTGTTGAAGTTGGGAGAAAACCACCACTTCCATTTTCCAGTCACGTTTTGATGCACGTTCCTCACTGGATTCCCTAACAAAACTTGATTTCCCCACGGCAGTACTTAGCCAAGTGCAGCAGCTGCCCAGTTAGAAGAGCAGCATTGTCCTGGCATTGTCATCGCTACCTGCCCTGCCCTGCAGTGCTGGAATTTACAGTCCCTGCTCTTGTCCTATTCCTCATCATCTGCCAAACAGAGGACTGGAGGCGATAAGTGAGTCGTCACATAGAAAAGTGGAGAGTTGTATTCTAAAATCCACACCCCTGAAGGTAAAGTCTAGGCGTGAAAGTGGCATGTGGCTCCTTTTCCTTTGGTACACTGTTCACAGACAGCCTCGTCCACATGACAGCTGCCCTCCCATCCTTTCGGGGCACTGGAGGCTAAGGCAGCTGGCCAGGTGGGGAAAATCAAAGATGTTGCCTGAGGCCAGCCCTGTTCCCAACACCCCCTTGCCCCTCACCCACGCTTATTCCCCACCCTCATGCACAAACTGAGATGAAAGCAAGCAGCCTTCTCACTTTCTTTGCTTCATTCTCTGTCTTTAATTGGAACAGACAATCCATCCCGTAACTCAGTGTCCAAGCAGAGGCTGGTTCGTGGGTAGGACACCAAGGGACTCCTAATTCTCTGTTACTCCCTGTTTCTGAACTCATTATCTCCATCTAAACCCCCATAAGACCTGGGAAGCCTCGGGGCATTTTCTCCTGGATCACAGGCCCCAGAGGGGAGGGCAGAGAGGAGCCCCCTCCGCAGCTGAGCCACAGAAGCAGGCAGACCCTCAAGCTCAGCCGAGTCTAGATCTAGAGCTTCTGCCTTGAGTTTAAACAATGGTAGCATCGGTTGCCCAAAGGGGGACTGGAAACACTTTCCCCCCTATACCCTTTTATACCTCTTGGATTCTGAATCATGTGTACCTAGCTATCCATCCAAGTGAAAGAAGTTTAGCAATTCTCCCTGACCCTGAAGGCTAGAAGGGCGGACAGCTGAGATGTGGGGATGTGTGTGCTTTTACCCTCTTCAATCCTGCCAGATGAACTTCTTTGGTTGTCTTGTTTTGATAGCAATGAGAGCAACAAAAAGTCCAGGTAATTGATGTATTTTCTAATCACAGGCACCAGTAAAGCCTTTTTGGTATCCAAATTTAAACTTTGTCTATTTCAGACCTTCCTTCCCTTTTCAAAGACTCTCCTAAAAGTAATTCCAGTTTTGAAATGAGTTATGTAAGCCTCACTGATGCCAGTACCTTAACCATAGGATAAAAAATGCGGACTTGAAGGGATGTCATAACATGAAGCCAAGGGCTTCACAGTAGAAGATAGTTCCTGCCAGGCCTAGCTGCTTTAAAGGGTACCGTGCAGTGCCTCCAATACTTCATCTTTTTCAGTCTGTAGTTTTGATCTGTTGACCTTGGATTCTGTCTTCACCAAGAGTCAAAAAGCTTCAACACCAAGCCTTTACCACCTGAAAGATCCCAGTCCTCTTCCGAAATCTTAAGCAAATGTTAGCCTCCTCTATGCAAAGCAGACTGCTGAGGCAGAAAACAAAACACCAGCAGGAGCCGGGCAGCTAAGGCCTCATCTAGGCAGGATGTGAAATGTCAGGCCATTAGTCTTGTATTTTTACCGCAGTGGTTACAAGACAAGGGTGATGTCGGAACAAAACACAGTAACTGACTTTGGAGAATTCTTTTTTCCAGCCTTCAGTATTGACACCCACTCATCAGGCTTGAGAACTAGTAAACACTACATGGATTTCTAGAGTGAGCAATAATTTCCCCTGGCCACCGTTCCTTGGCTGTTCAATGCAGAAGTTGGGTCAGTGCCACTCAGCACATGCTGATGGCAGAGTCCAGTTTTCCATCTGGCTACGGTGCAGGCCTGTATTCATAACCACTAAGGTGGAAAGCTCAGAGTTCCTCCAATAACTGATACAATGATGAGACCAGAAAGATAAAACTAATCAATGTGAGACAGACAGAGGTATGTATAATCTAGTGGTAAGAGATGGCGTTAGATAGGTGTTTGTATTTTCGGTGCATTGCTAAGTCATCTAGCATATACACAGATCTCTACATTTTTCTGTATGAAAATTCTGGTTATAAACTACATTCTCTATTTAATTTACTCAAACATTTAAACCCCAGAATTCTAGTAGCTAAGGCAGTTAAAACCAAAGTATGCAGGTGTTGCCCTGACTAGAGAGAAATACAACCCAAATGTTCTCAAATATGCTTTTATAGTGGGGAGAAAAACTTGTGTTTGTGCCATTCCCTTGATCCTAATACCTCTTGAAAACATGCTAACATGAGTAAGCTCTATCACAGAAGGGGTAAAAACCTATAAACTGAATACGACCCTGGGCCCTACATGCATCAATGAAACCATTCCAGGAAGTCTTCACATTGGCAGCCTCACCCTGGCAAAAATTTCAGACAGACCCCCTGGGAATTCTGGGAGGTCAGGGGTCAAGTTTTAAACTCCAAATGCTAGTGTTCAGATGTCACAGCCTTCCAGCTCTGGGTTCTCCAGTCCTCTTCCTGGGAATTCTTGGGTGCTTCTCCCTTTACTCTTGCTTTTCTCCTCCTGCTAGGGAGCAAAACTGACTGTTTGAAGGGTATCTTCACACGTAGTGCCAGAACCTCCTTTTCCCTACTTACCCCAAATAAGCATGCACACCTCATCAGTGACACTGAGCCTTTGAGAAGTAAAGAATGAAATCTCACAAACACACATGGTTCTACTCAAACTATAAGCTTTTATTATATTTTACAGATCATTCATCCAGGACATGCTGTGTCTATGGTTGGCATCGTCTCATTTTTGAAATGATAAAATGCACATAAAAGTCTCTTGACCATGCTGGACTGGTTTGCCCAGCAGAGACGAGCTCTCACTAAGTGCAGCTTGAATGTGAACTGGCTTGGGCAGCAGTAGTGCCCTCCTTACTTGAGCTGCTGCCACATACTCATTGGAGGTAAGTGGGTGGGGACTGAATTTTAGCTTGGACTTTTAAGTTTCTGATTTTATACTTTTGATTATAGTTTGGTCCATTTCTGTAGTCTACTTTAAAATCTAAAGGTTGCCTAATCTAATATGATCATTTTGAAATGTAATTCACATGCTGTATTTCAAATCAGAGAAAAAGGCTTCAATATCACAGTTCAGGAGAAACCAGAAAATTGTTCCATTTCTCCATTTTGCCACCGCGCTCAGTTTTCCCCCATAAACACTTCCAGTTCAGAAAACACCTCCCCTCTCAGATACACACAACAGTGGGAGGAAGAAGCAGAGGCTGGAGCTGCACTCTCCCTCTAATCTTGCTGAGAGCATGGCTCACATCCCTCCGAGGGGTGGAGGTGTGCAGTGAAAGGCTCACTGAAATCTACATGAGGACTATACAACAAAACACAGAAAGATGCCGAAGAGGTTCAACTAGAGCCTGTCACTTGCTAATGTCAAAACGTCAACATCTGTTCCAGCACAAGCACCATGACAATCTCCCTTGCCCAAAGATTATGGCCCTAGACAAAGCTGGATAAGAAATGTGAAGTCTAAAGCTGTCAGAATGCAAAAATAGAGCAGAGTTTGTGAAGTCAATTAAATGATACTATGACCCTCACCTGCATGCAGGTCAGAGTGATGAAACTGGAGACAGGGTTGGCGAGGTGACTCAGATTCACAGAGAAACCCTCAGGATGCACAGATTGGATCAAGGGCACACACAGCTCATAAAAATAGCAACAATTTGGAATTTTCCTATCAAACATTTCGGAAACATGCCAACAGCAAGTGAGATGTCATCAATGCCAACAGTCTGACCTGCTGGCAATGAACCTCTGTGTCCTCAAAACAAAATGTCAGTGCCTTCCCTGGGACCAAAACACACAGAGGCAAGGGGTGGGGGAAGCCAGCACAGGCAGCTGAAGAGGTTGAGAGCTCTAGGATTCAACATAGTCAAGCAGAGAGGCCTTGGCATCTTAAACCACTGTAAGCTAAGAGTTATGAAATGTTAAATATTGGACCCCAAGATCTCTCATACTACAGTAGAGATATATATTCCAAAACTGTCAACATGTGTGCAACTCCCCGCATGAGGTGCCTGCCACAGAGTGTTCCAAGGTGTGCTCAGAGCCACCAGACAGAACAGTCTGATGCAAGCTCCACAGTGACTCCACAGTCCATCAAGAGTGTGTCTGAGAAAGGTCATCCATTTGGACTCCGAGGGAATCTGGATGAAGGAGGCATTTATCAATGGAGGAAGATGATACCCACAACAGAACCTGTCAGATTGAGCTTGTGATACATGAGGGTTTTACAACAAGAGCACCTTCAAAACCAGCTTGTGGATGGAGCTGCCCTTTTTATAACAAATTCTAAGAATTCACTTATCAATGTCCTTTCAGACAAGAAATGATCTTTATTGTAACTTTTAATTGCAGAACTCGAGGCTGAATATTATTAGACACACACAAAATTACTAATCTCTGGAGTCATCTTCCAAACCCCTCAACATTTGGCCGATGAGTTATGCCTCAAGGAATTTTGCAGTTCAACCTCACACATCAACTTGGAATAAATGGATATACTAGTCTTTTGGTTTTACCCTAAGTTCTAAAGTGCTATTACAGGTAGAATATCTGCTGTAGGAGACCATTTTTCCTAGGCTAGAATACAATTAAGGAAGTCCAGGCTGGGGACGGTGACCTGTAATCCTAGCACTCTCGGAGGCCAAAGTGCTTGAGGTCAGGAGTTTGCGACAAGAGTAAGAAAGCCGGGCACAGAATTCTGGATGGGGTTAAAATGTCAATTTATATGTCTCCTATCCCGTAGGCTTTGTTTTCTTTCTCCTTGTTTTGTTTCTTTTTATAGGGGTTGCCTTACATGGTGCAATAAATATACAGCTTCTATTCAGAATCACAGCAGGTGGGTCAAATGAGTAATAAAATGTTACATGGTAAGATACTGAGTCTACAATAAGAAATCCAAACTCTGGGATTAAACTCAAATATTTCAAGGTAAGGAAAAAATTTACTTGGCTGGCTAGTGAAAAGCTTAATTCTTTATAAAGTCATAATTGCAATCTGGACCTCTGCTTCATGCTATAGCCCAAGACAAAAATTGGGTAACCTTACATCACACCCAAATGATTCACAGAGCACTCCTTCGTATTTCTCCCGAAGTGCTGAGAAATGACTCCCAGGCCTGGAAGTTGTCACATAGATAATTGGTGCTCAGATAACAACTGCCACAAGGCCCAAACTTGATTAACACCATTTCTTTAAATATACTACTACTACAGTGGAGGCCCCCACTAGGAGAAAGCAGGGATGTCAAAGCTGAGACAAGCTGAGAGCTGAGGATCACCACCCTGACAGGCTCACACGATGTGACGGAACGGTGAATGTTGAAGCCAGTAATCCGAAAATATCACTCATCTTCAAAACCCATCTGCCTTTTTTTCTAATCAGGAAATCAGGGATGGGGAAACATTTGCACATATTGCCCACCAGCACATTCCTCTTAACAGAAGTGAAGATATTTTGAGAATATGAAAAGCACTTCAAGACATCTGTTTTCAGGGATAGACCACAGCAACAGAAATACTTTTCAGAGTTGGTTTGCTCTAAAGTCTGTCTTAAGAACAAGGGCAGCCAGCTTTCATGAGATACCAAGACATGTTCTGGCAAAAATATTTTCACTTTCCTTAAGTTATATGCTGTCAAGCTCAACTATTTTATACATATCCGATCCTTTTCTGTTAGTAAAAAAGAATCTTTTTTTCTTAAAACTCCCAAATCAACAATATCTGTGTAGAATGAAGTAGAATTTTGGTTGTTTTTTATAATTCAGAACAGAGATGAAATCAAAAGGTCTGCAACTGTCTCTATGTTGGCATCTTCCAAAGGTCCTTTTCTCCTTTCACATGAATTCATCTGAATCATTGCCGTCCTGCAGGAAACAAAAAAGTGAAACTGTAAAAGCCTTGAAAATAAGTAATTCAGTATTTAAAATTTACACTTATAATCTTAACTAATCTCCAAGTTGAGAAAGTAAAAAAAAAAAAAACCAAATTCGTTCATCACTTCTTCACTATCTTAAATTGTCAGTTCCCTAGAATGGCTGGATTAGCAGCTCGGTTTTCTAAGGTGTCCTTACGTGGCCTAATTACACAGCAACAAGTGACCAATGACTTCCAAATTACGAAGTAAGTCTCACCTGATTTAGTATGGTGTACTAAGTGTGACTATAAGAAAACATGATTGATCCTAAACAAACACTGTCTCAATACCCTTATGCCAACATATATTTCTGGCCTATATTCCAGTATTTTGAGTCCAAAGGTTATCATAGCTTCGTGACTTAACAAGATAGCCTTGATTTTTTTTTTTTTTTTTTTTTTTTGAGACAGAGTCTCGCTTGTTGACCAGGCTAGAGTGAGTGCCATGGCGTCAGCCTAGCTCACAGCAACCTCAAACTTGGGCTCAAGCAATCTCTCTGCTCAGCCTCCGAGTAGCTGGGACTACAGGCATGCGCCACCATGCCGGCTAATTTATATATATATTAGTTGGCCAATTAATTCTTTCTATTTATAGTAGAGCCGGGGCTCGCTCTTGCTCAGGCTGGTTCGAACTTCTGACTCTAGCAATCCACCCGCCTCAGCTCCGAGTGCTAGGATTACACAGCTGAGCCACCCGGCTGGCCTCCACGGGTTTCAACAACCGTGGTCAAAAATATTTGGGATAAAACAAAACAAACAATAAAAAATAAAATTAAAAGATACAGTATAACAACTATTTACATAGATATATAAGATATACTGAGATGATTTAAAGTATGGGAAGGTTCACATAGGTTGTATGCAAAATATGCTAAGCTATATTATATGAGAACTTGAGCATCCGTGGATTTTGGTATCTGAGGAGGATCTTCAACCACACTCCATGGATACTGAGGGCACTGTATTTTTTAAGTTTTACTACTGTATTTCCGAAATAAGACAGGGTCCTATGTTTATTTTTCCTCAGAAGACACCCTATGGCTTATTTTTCAGGGGATGTGTTATTTTTTGTTCCTTTACCGTCTGAGATGATGAAATGCATGGTTGTGCAGATACGCTGCGTAGCCATGCCAATCGCTAGGTCTTATTTCTGGGTAGGGCTTATATTGTGCAAATGCTTAGAATCCTGCTAGGGCTTATTTTATGGGTAGATCTTATTTTCGGGGAAACATGGTATAAAACATGCAATATCCCAAATATATCTACCCAGTTTCAATTTCCTACAAAGACTGTTCAATAATAGCTAAATTGTGCTATCTTTAAATACTTCAAAATAAGTTCTGGGAAGACAGCTCTCAAGGACAGTAAGTCTCTGACACAGTTCCGGTAAAATGTGGATGTGACAAAGATCCTGTCAGTGCTATGTTAGGGTCACCAATTCTCTTTATTCAGGTCTGGGGGAGCATGACAGCACCAATTTTCTCCCTCAGGCTGCAGTATAAGACCTTAGGGTTGGTACTTTTATTTTATTGAAGGTGATATTTTCCTCAATTACAATATAGGATCTACAGTCCACTCATGAAGAACATTCATAAAGGCACTTTTGCATGCCTGCAATAGGAAGAGGGGAAAAAGGAGTGGGAGAGGCCGGCGCGGTGGCTCACGCCTGTATCCTAGCACTTTGGGAGGCGAGGCGGGCGGATTGCTCAAGGTCAAGAGTTCGAAACAGCCTGAGCGAGCCCTGTCTCTACCAAAAATAGAAAGAAATTAATTGACCAACTAAAAATATATTACAAAAAATTAGCCGGCATGGTGGCACATGCCTGTAGTCCCAGCTACTCGGGAGGCTGAGACAGATAG